TACTCTAAACCTCTAAACCCTAGACCAGCAACCCTAAACCCTACCCAGAACCACTCAGCCTATAAACCCCATTGACCCAAAATGAGAAAGCAGTGCTGTACTGGCTAAGCTATCCAAAAACGCAACCTGCCTCGTACAATCCAAGGGAAAAAGAGGGACCCTTAATAAGGACCCCTGAGTATATGCCCTTAATATAGCTATCATATACCCATTTTATAGCCCATTATAGGGTAGGGGTCCCCATTAAGGGTCCCTCCTTTTCCCCTTTGATACAAGGAAGCTTGAGAGTCTATATCAAAGGAACTTCGTGCGTAAGGCTCCCCGACAATCCCCAATCAACTTGTTGCAGAACTGCACACTGCAAACGTTTATGCGGATCTTGTATGATTAGGGTTTCAGGGTTTAGGACACATATGAAGAGCCATGTCCATTCTCCGGGGCGCGGACGTGTCCATTAAGAACCAGCCGTCCAAGAAGGAGTTGGTGGGTCCAATGGCTACCAAACGGAGCAGCCACTCCTCTCGGAGGTTTCGGTTGGGTTTCGGAGGGCTTCTGCAAAAACTTAATATCCGATTTGCAAGAGTTAAACGGAAAAAGGTTTAGAGTCACAAAAGATGGTTAAGGGCTGTGTGATGTACGCCTTATCTTCACTTTATGAGGGCCATAGCATTGTGGGATAGGGTTTGGAGCACACTATACAGAAACCCCTGTAAACCCTGACAACCAGCCTGGAAGGGAACCCTGCTATTGAACCCTATAGTGCCCTTAAGCGAAACCCTAACGCTTAGCTACTAAGTCCGTCCAGCACATACCAGGAAAGAAATGCGATCTCGATGCCCGCAGGCCATTCACCTTAGTGGTGCTAAGTAGGGAATGGGGGGGAATGGATCCTCATAGTAGTCCCTGTATAAGAAGGGTCCCCGGATTCTCCCATTCCCTTGTAACCACCAGGGAGACCCTGTCAGGGCTTTATAGGCCCTTGGTCTATGGAGCGTTGGTTTTTCGTGGATTGGTTTAGGGTTTACGGTTTAGGGCTTCACTGAACGCAGCCAAAATGCCCTGCCTGCGTTTGGAAACACACACACACACACACTATAGAAATGTAACCCCGGTAACGAACGTTGACTGGTAGGTTGGTTGGCCAGAAACCAGCCTGTTGTTCCGAATCACAAAATGTCATCCAATCAAGAACTCTAAAATCATAGTTTTTGGGCCTGCAGGCAAGGTGGAGTGGGAGGTTAGCGTTCATGCCTTTTGGGATGTACATTATGACCTTAATGATTAGCACCGGAAATTTCCATCAGTATGCTAGGGACTGAAGGAACGGAACATTGTTCTATCACCAGCGGGCACAATTCTTGTAAATGCGTTGGCGATATAAAGAGACAGATTGTTGAAATTCCATGTAATCTCTAGGATCCGCCTGGATCCGCATTAATGTTAAAAAACGGTTCTGGGCTATAGTATAATAGTATGACTATAATCGGAAACATTGAGGGATACCGTTAACACTGTTCCGACCCTTGCGATTATGTGGGAGTTCCCAAAAATAGGGGACCCTAATATAGTACCCTAAATAGTAGGATCCTAGTATAAGGGCCCCGAGATTTTGGTACCCCCAATTTAACGGAAACTCCCATGTTGCTTGTCAAGTGTCATGACTGAGGATTCCGTAGCTCGGTTGGGTTCGCGGCTTAAGCCACATTACAGTAGAAGCCAGAAAGTTGGAATAATATATCGTAACCCCTTTAAGGTAAATTATAGGGGATCCTACCATTAATCCATATTCCAACTTTCTGGAGTTCCCTTTATTGCAATGGTGGTTCGAGGGTTTGTGGGCTTAGGGTTGCGGGTTGAGGGGTACAGGGCCGACCCGCAACTCTATAGCAGAAACCTTAAGCCAGCAGAAGGCCAAAACAATGCTAAACAACACTACGTTGCTGCAGACTAGCAGCTTTTTGGCTCGGGAAGCAGCGAGTGCTCCAGCTCCTTAGCAAATTTCGCGCGGATAGTCGTGGAAAGCTGGATTGGCTCTGTATGATTTCTGTGTGAAACGACGCAGAGCAAGAACACTTGTGACAGTGCGGCCGCAGGTAGCTGAGATGTGGGCACAAACTCACCAGTGATAGTAAAGCGACTGTTTCATGCATTGTTTTAATTTGTGCAGTGCTTCTTGTCAGCATCAGCCCGACAGTCTTCTTTGCCGTCGGTACCTCACTGTGTGTAGGTTCATCATATTCCGCTGCCGTCTGAGACAACCTAGGCAGATTCGTAATAGTAGTCCGCAAAGCTCTCTCCCATACTACCCTCCCGAACCTAGTTTCGGCATTAAACTCCGCCACTAAGCCCCTGAACTGTCAAAGTGAAACTCTGAAACCAAAAACCTTACACACCCTAGACCCCACCCAGAAGCCCCAAAGTAGTTCCTTGTTGGGATTACCCTATAGGATTCTATATATGAACCCCCAAAAGGAACTACTTTGGGGCCTTTGGGCAAACCTGAAGGCTAACGTGGCTGCCATGACGCCAGGCCCTGCGTCACCAAGTTGGCGAAAATGACGGCACCTCGAGAACTATTGGAACCCTAGCAAAAATTTTAGATTTTAGCTGTTTCTTAGGGATTATAATAGCCCCAAAACTAAAAGTAATTTCTAAGTACGCCTAAGAGAAGAGGATTTGTTGGGGCTTCGGGGCTCCAGGGTTGACCTAGACCCCCCCCGGCTACCCAGAGCCTCCAATATACCCCTTAAGTAAGGAATTTACCTTAAATAATAATAGGATCCCTAATACCTAATATGATTTAAGGTATATTCCTTAATATTAAGGGGTTTGGGAGGCTCTGGGAACTACCCTCTAATATACCCCCAAAGCCCACTATGAAGGACTCTGTTAAAGGGCTCTTGGGGCGTCTGGGGAGAGATTGGGATGAGGGTTTCGGGCTCGGGGTTTCAGCGGTCGATCAGAGGGGTCAGGCTTGGGAGGTGAGGTAAATCGTTCTTTCTAGGTGGTTCGGGATAGACCGGTAGATAGTTGAGCCCTGTAGTTGGCAAAGGTTTCCGTTCAAGGCAAAGCTGTTAAGGCTGGAGGCCACTACTAATACACCGGGGCTGAGACAAGTGGGACTGGCGCATTTCTTGCGAATGGTATAATGTAGCCCAAAATCCCCGGGCAGCGGCGCAGACTTCAAGGGCTTTTCTGGTTCACGAGGTTTGGCGATTAATTTAGACCCTCCAGCATCAAGCCTCAGCCGAAAGCCCTCGGACCACAGAGCCGGAAACTCCGAACAAAGCTCACTGAATCCTACACCTTCATCCAGATGGCTAACTATTCAAAACATCTCCCAAAGCTCGGATGAGATTTGGGATCCAAAGGAGATCCTGCTAATCCCACTAATGCCGCCTTTACCGCAAAAGAGCTTGTGGCACAAATGTTGCTCAGCCTGTCTGCGATCGGCTATATTTTTCCTTTGTGGGGTGGTTACCAGAGGCCCCAAAGTAGTTCCTTTTTGGCTTTACCCTATAGGATTCTATATATGAACCCCAAAAAGGAACTACTTTGGGGCCTTTGGGTAACGAAGCACCAAGCCCAAATCCTGAACTGAAAAAGCACCCCTGTCGGAAGTACTGCCCCGACGAGTGAGCCCTACTGGAAAGTTTTGGGAACTCCAAAATATACTAATACTAATACTAATACTAATACTATCACTTGCGAACGCCAATACGAATTCGGCATTTTTACTTAGGGACTTAGGAGGATTACAAATTGAATTCAAGTGCGGCGCCTTACGGAAACCCAAATCCCTAAACCCTGACCCTGAACTTGAAACTCACAGCCCCTTAACCCTGAGTTCGAAACTCCTTAAACCCTAAACCCTGAACCCTAAACCCTAAACCCGTCGGGGCACTCACGAAGAGCTCGAAGACCGGATGCTTCACAATACGCTTGGCCTTGAGGCGAATCCGCATCCCTTGCCTCAGGTCTGGCTTCGGGCTAGGGCTTTAGGGCTTTAGGGCTTACTTCAACGTTCACGGGACATAGTAACTAGGGTTATAAATACAGTAACCGTACTTGTAAGTACTTGGAACCCTACTTAAAGTACTTATAACCTTATACTTACTAAGTCCCATGATCCTCCAAGTAGGGTTTAGGGCTTACGGTTCGGGTTTGGGCTGTAGGTTTTAAATTTAGGGCTTTAGTGCTGAGGGTTTGAAATGCTCATCTATTGGAGGTTCAAAGTACGGGTTGCATTGAGATCTAAAGTGTTTTCGTACAAGCAGGGCTCTAATGTCGGCATTTTGCTAGAATACGTACCCATAATTAGGCGAGGGTTTTCGCGGTATGGTCCCCCAAGGTGAAACAGGGATAATTACAAGCTGGACGCTATTTTAGCACCTATGTTGATTTCATGATGAAACAACATATGACCGTACCACTCATCTAACTATTCAATCTCCTAGAGTTTATATATATATATATATACACACATACATGTATGTGTGTAAAAAATGCATACATTTGTAATAAGCATATATATATATGTATTATGTATATGTATAAATATATGTATATGTATGTGACTTATCGACTGGGTGTAGTTATGTCAGTTATGTCTGCGTTCCCCGAAACACCAAGCTGGCGACGGTCACAAACATTGAAGTTTAGGGCAGAGCTTAGGGGCCTCCCAGGCGAAAGCGCTTTGGGAATTTGGGGGGTTGGGGTTTCCTTCCGGTTTGCGTAGGGCTTTAGGATTTCGGGTTTAGGGGTTTAAGGCTTAGGGATTAAGGCTTCAGGGTAAGAGCTTGGGCTAGGGTTTAGGGTTTAGGGTTTAGGGCTTAGGGTACAGAGTCCAGGGCCTATAGGACTAAGCTTCAGCCCGAAATAACATTGACTGGGTCTGGGGCTTCATATTTTGGCCACCTTGTAGACCCTTAGAGTCTCATAGGTACGCTTCAAAGCAAGCCTTATGGAAACGTTTTAGAAACTCACAGGAACCAAGACAGGAAACGCCAAATTGCATGCTCCGAAACATGTCCAACGGACGTTCTGCAAAACCGTCCGAGGACTCCCAAAGATTAAACAGTAAAACAGCCGCCGCTAAAGCCCACAAACCGTACAACCTTTCCCGTAAACGTCCTGAAGGCCCACAAACCCCAAAAGCCTCCATAGCCATCAACCCTGCGTGCCTTAACGATCTATACGCAAAACGAAAACACGTTTACTGTAGGTTTGAAGTTTCGACCTTGATGTGGAATTTGCAAGGACCCTACCGAAAACGGTAGGATTTTTGTAGGCTCTCAACCTTAATCCCTGATATACAAGTTGCAAGGATCCTACAAACAGGGCAAGCTCTGGCAGGTTAGGGTAGAAGCCATAGGCTCTATTGTAGTTCCTTGGTACCACAAACAGGTACTACTTCGGACCCTTGGGTAAGCCAGTACCGAAACTTCGCATCCTGCCGAGAAGCCGGAGGAACCTGGGAAAGAAGCGAATGAAGCTGCGGCTGAGGACATTAGGATTGGTTAAGACGCCAAATAGCAATAACAGTTATTCTGCATGTGTGCATGTATGATATGATTTTGCTTTCTTGTATGAACTTACACAAAGATGTTAGGATGCTGGGCTTTACTTTATGGTCTCGTAGGAAAGAAGGTAAGCAGGCAGGTTAGCAAGATGTGATGGTTTAGCGGCATAGGATCTAGGGCTTAGCTTTGAGGCTTGGCGCTAAGGGTTTAGCTTAAGGGTTTTTCGCACCTCTGCCAAACTTCTGCTACCAGTAGCTGCTAAGCTCGCCCACACCGGGGCGAAGTATCCTTGCATGAATTCGCGGGAGCCTTTAGATATGCTATCCTGCAGTTATACACATACTACCCTACAGTTAAAATCAAATACAGTATTGTGCATAAGCTTTTGAACGTTGGAAACTGTATGCATTGTGTGTATGTATAGATATATGGATGTATATTCCTCGTGCTATAGATGCATGCATATATGTACGTACATGTGCATAAATACACCCCATCAAGGAGCACCGGAAGGAGCTCATATGAGAGGGGGTGTCTTCCGTTGGTAATGCGCTGATGCGGATGTAAAGGCTGCATTCCAAAGTCCGAACAAGATAACCGTCTCTTAATCAAGAGCCATTCATGTCAAGAGGTCCTCAACAACATGGTATTCCGTACTGGGTTCAGTGTTGCTTACATAACTGTGGGCAAAGCAACCCAGCCATCTTTGCGTGTCAGCTGAAGAATACCATTAATGTAATTAGGCATGGGAATAATTACCTATGTCACCCCTTGGGTGTTCCCGGCTGTAACTCGACTATAATATAATATACCCCTCAAAGAAAATCCTTCACTATTGCGACTATATCGTTACGATTATGATGGCCATCATTTCATTAGTGTTAAAGGGAACTCCAGAAAGTTGGAATATGGTTTCAGGGTAGGATACCCTACAATTTACCATAAAGGGTTCAGGATAATCATATTCCAACTTTCTGGCTTTTACTTTAAAGGGCCCTATAAGGATGGAAGCAAGCATACAAATCCTGCAGGTGCATTGCCATTCAGCCTCGGCTGGAGACCCGACTATTCTTGGGGATTCTTTCTCAAATCAAAGTAGTATAGTAGAAGTTAGAAGCTGCCCCCACCCTGTAATAGTGGTATAATAGAAATATAGTAGGGCCCTACTATAATCCTTCTAGTCACTATTACAGGGTGGGGGCAGCTTCTAAAGTAGAAGCCAGAAAGTCGGAACATCATTATCCTCGTGCCCTTAAAGCAAAGTAGAGGGAATCCCAGCAAATCCTACATCAATGTTCCAACTTTCTGGGGTTCATTGAAATTCCTACAAACATAATCGAACACGCAGACGGGTGGCGGGGATACTTCCGAAAATCATATAAAAGCAAATCCTAACAATCACACTACTAGTCCACAATAATCATGATAGCAACTCCTAATATTTCCCCCAACTCAGAGTAGCAATTCTAACTACACATAGTCGTAGTTCACGATATCATAAACTCCGAATATAGTACCTCCTCATGTAGAAACCCTACATTCTACTATACAGGTACTTTGCATTGTTTGGCTGTACGATGTTGAACGGGCGCTTAGAAGGTTCGTATCTGTTTTTTTCATTCTGGGTTTTAGTGGGCTTCCATACTGTTTGGGGGTTGGGTTGTTGGGTTTTGATTTGGCTTCGGTGGTTTAGGGGGCTTTTTAAAGCGTCCTATGTACAACGGCAAGTAGGGCGGGTTTAAACAAAGGCAATTTGAAGGAATCTCCGGTTTCGGGATTGATTTCAAGATTCAAGGCCGTATAGGATTAAAGGGGTAGGGTTTACAGTGTAGGGTTTAGGGATTGAAACCCTCCAAAGCATGGCTTCCTAAACCCTAAACCCCAAAGCCTAAACCCTAAACCCTGAAGTCTAAACCCTAGACCCCGAAGTCTAAACGCTAAACCCTAAACCCTGAAGTCTAAACCCTAAACCCCAAAGTCTAAACCCTAAACCCTAAACCCTGAAGTCTAAACCCTAAACCCCAAATTCTAAACCCTAAACTCCAAAGTCCAAACCCTAAACCCGAAACCCTCACCAAGACCCCCACTGCGACTCGCCAAGAAGTTCCGTGTCCTCGAGATTAGTCAGCACGTCCTCGCCAAGGCAAGGGCCCAAAATAGTAGACACTATCGTCAAAGGGGAAAAGGAAGGACCCGTAATGGGAACCCCTACCCGATAATGGGCTATAACGGGTATATGATAGCTATATTAAGGGTATTTTCCTGGGGGCCCGTTTTGAGGGTCCCTCCTTTTACCCTTGGATATAGGGGTCTTAATTATTTATATAAGGGTCCCTGCTTAAATGGGGGGACTACAAGGGTTACTATAAGGAATATAGGGGCCGTAATAATTAAAATCGTGAGTGAGAGTTGCCCACGGCCCTATACTGTGCTAGACTTGGGCAAGGCAGGATTTTCTCCATCTGCAACATGAGTCGATAGAACCCTGCCCCCACCCACTCACCTACCCACCCAAAGGACATGTCAATGGGATCTTACCCCTGGCGCACATACCTACTGAAGATACTGTGCACTTCATAAACTAGGACACTTAAGGGAATGCAGGGTGTTCTTAGATAGGCAGCAAGCCCGTCTTCAGCCTGGAAGTGCAGTTGGGGGGAGGAGTCTCTCGACACCCCAGCCCATCGCAAAAACTCAAAGTCCTAAGCCCTAAACCGTATATAATCCCTAAACCCGACTCCAAAACCAAAAAATAACTGAACTCCCCACGCCAGGATTCTCGAGCCCTAAACCCTCTGCCTGAAAATCCTGTGCCTGGAACTATCTATTTGACTTGTTTCATCCGCTAGCTGTCTATGAGTTACATGATACTGCTTGGTAAGCCTTCATGAGGGATTATGACTTGGGGGCCACCATAGGCGGGGAACCGCGTACTGCAGGGATAGCCGTACCCCTGTGTCTCTTGGGGCCTCAAGTTGGGCGAGGGTCGATTCTGAGGGCTGTCTGGCATCATTTTGGCAGCATGTATTGCCACATGGGGGCGAAACTTAAGAATGCCAAGGTAAACAAATCTCGTGGTGCAGGGCGTAGTCCTGGAGGTGTGTATCATCTCTTGTAAGTGCTGAATTTTGAATCCCAAAGATCAGACTGTGCTTGCGGTGTCCGCATCTGTAAATCAACTCTTTGAATACAGGCTGCAACATCACGAACATCATGCCATTGTCCAACGTGTGTGTCTGGGAAAAACTCTCCGGATGGATTTGTGGATGTGACGTCCGTCGGGTGCGGCAACAAAACAGAAAGTCCTCCCATCTGCACGATGCTGTACCCCGGTCTATCGGCAAAGGGCCATAGTCATGGGGAGGGCACTCTTCTGTGAGATAGGACCCTGTACTTTCAACTAAGCAGGGGTTCCAGTGACCAAACTATAGCTCGTCGTTCTGCCTGATGGCATATTTTCCGGGCTCGTTGCGAGCTGGCCTCAATGCCCCATATGCTTTCAAGCCTGATTGCAACCCCGAGCTGCCAATGGCGTGTTGTGCTTGCAGCCTGCCAGTGCTTGGTTGCAAAGCCAGAAACGACCATGAAACTGGCACCATACCACACCAGCTGCATTGTCTGCATCGCTAATCAGTACAAAAAGTAGTCAAATGCAGTTAAGGCTATTGATACAAACAACTAAGAAGACCGCACATGAATACACCATACAAACAAAGAGTATATCAAGTGCACATTTCAAGCATACCTAATGCCATTTACATGCAGTCAGGGCTACTGGCCTAGACCAGGGACAGCAAGCGCAGACCAAGCGCAGATCAAGCGCAGACCAAGCGCAGACCAATGTTTCAGTGGGCACAGTTAAGGCGCATTTCAAGCGCAGACCAAGCGCATTTCAAGCGCAAACCAATGTTTTGCAAACTAAGTTTCTTAAAATGCAGAGCTACTGCAGACCGACGTGAACATTATCAACAAGTGGAGTGCTAGTGAAACACAAATTAAACCATGTGCAGCATACAATAGCATGCCACAGTGGTCAGAAATTCCAGATTCCTGGAAAGCCTGGTGTGCATTAATTTCCGCCACTTCAGGAAGTGGCACTTTTGGGGCTTGAAAAGCGCCACAGGAACAAGGATCCCATAGTTGCTGCTTTTGGGGTTCTCCGGTATTGAGGCTCAGAAATCAACTTGAGTTGCCCCAGACCAATCACAAAAGACAAAAGCCCAGCTTAGGTTGTCCCAAACCAATCACCAACGATAACAAAAGCCCGTGCAACAAAGAGAACCTGCTGTAGAAGCCACCCTGAAGCTGAAAGCATAAGAAATCCTTGCCACATCCGATCTTTCCCGGCGCATTGCTGCTATCGGCTGCTGAAGTTCAGCTCGAGGACCGAACAGGGCTCGACAGAAATCACCAAAGAGAGGCGAGAGCCAGGGCATATTTACGAAGAGTCCGGGTATGAATCTTTCTACCGGACACTGTTCTACTCATACTACAGATAGCTCCCACAAAGTCTTCGTCGATCTGGGTTCCAGTCGCAAGTGGGTTCAAAGATGGAATTTTGAGTCGACGATGCAATTCCAGACGATAGAGAATCTCACCGATGAAATGCAATTTCGTCTGCATTTTCCAGCGTGTCTTTTGTTCCTGGAATGCATGTAAAGCACACCGCTTGAAATCTTTGATCACCACCATGCCCGACGAGATGGCTACTGACCGTTCATTGTCCATCAGCCACAAGTCCGCATGATACAAGGTCCTCATGAATAGGTTGCAATTACCGAGCATTCGGAGCATCGTCTCAAAGTAAGGCTTGTTTTCGGGAGAGATCGTTGGCAAAATTTCACGGAGCTTGTCCTCCAAGTACACGCACAAAGTTGTTGTGTCGGCTCCTTTAAACCAGCACCTCGTTGCACAGAATTAGCTTTACAAGGACTTACCAAAACCAAATTGCGAATACTGCACCAAGGCACGCTGAAGGGAAAGATGATGAGGTGTCCCAGCCCACAGCTCCACGAGTTAAAGCAGTCATGTGCAGCTGCAGTCGATTCTCACGGCAATACTTCTTGCAGTCTTGGAAAATTGCTTCCATTGCTTTGTCGATCGACAGGTTGCCCAAGGCTTTGTACTCGTACAGGGCAACCTTTTGGGATGTTAGGCGGGGTTAACACAATAATATTAGCCTATAGGCTCAACTACAAAATCGACGTGCTGCTAGACATATGAAAAGCTGAGATGCGATCGTGTTTGCGGCAATATCACCCCATACGCCTTTATGGGCACAGTGGAACAGGTCCAGCTCGAAGAATTGTGGCTTGTGCAGCTCCGATTGAGGAATCAAACGAATCACGGAAGGCTCTTTATTCCAAGGTGGTTCCAGGTTCTCTCGCATAGATGACATATTGTCAAAAGTAACCTTGTGCCACATATGGCCTTCTCGGCCTGCCATGCAAAGATGGCATATCCCATGTCCAGAGGACTTCGTCGGGGTGTCCCTTAGGAAGTTTCTTTTCAACTCCCCAATCTTGACCAGGGCTGCAAGGTCGCCCTTTAAGCCTAGGCAAACCAAACGAATTTGGCGAGCCTTGCCGTTCGGACACTGCATGGCAACTGGCTCGTCAAACAAAGAGCCCATCTCAGCAGCAAAATGTTCCACAAGTTTCAGCAATGGCTTGTTCTTCTTGAGCTTGCCCGAATAAGTGTGAGCTGTCATGACCGAATAAAGAAACCGTGTAGTTAGGCTGTTGTTGATCATGTTGAGGTCTTCACCTCGTGAACTGCCATGTCCCAGAACAGGTTGGTACTGAATCACCATCAAACCACGGCGTTTCTGTGATGTGCCCTCGTCTGCATAGGCATAGACCGGTATACACCATTTAAGCCGACCTTTTCGAGCATGTTTCGAGAAGATTGGATGCTGTGGCTGGGTCAGGCGCCACAGCTCCCAGAAATCTTCGTAGTCAGCCTCTGAGTGCCCACAAAACAGAAGATCACTTTTTCCACGTTCTGATAGAGACGATAGGAAATCTCTGATCCGGAAGATAGGATGTTGCACCCCTGTTCCGACATCGACATAGCTGATGGGTATTGCAGCAGACAGCCTCATGTCTTCGAATGTATCACCAAGACGACATTCGTGACCGGTCGCAGAAAGGGTAGCAGCTTTTCGGATGATGTCTACACTTGCCAATGTCTCTGCCCCTGGCAAATCCTTGATCTCCTCCCAAACCGCGCCCATCAAGGAGCAGGCATGCTTCTCCGAAACCTGAGGAATTCGATTTGCCACAGCATCGCAACAACTATATCATAATGCCAAAAAAGGAACGAAGCAAAACCTTGTGTTGCTCATCCTCAAACCAGAACACTCCCTTCACGACCGCCTTCACCAGCGCTTTTGCAACAGGACCATCGGTGCGGATGCGCTTCCTCGACCCGCCTGCGCAGGACATGAAGGCTATGTAACCCGGCTAGCCGGTCTACTGTGAGGTTTCGGCATGTCAGTGAGATGCAGTCGCAAGGTTTTTTCAGAGCCGGTGCTAGTGAAAGGTAGTGCCCCATGGTTCGAACGGTCAGTGCTAAGCATCGTTGGCAGTACCAACTTTCTGCTCAGCCTAATTTGGAACAACATCGCACAGGTAAGATGCTACTCGGAAGATCCATGCACACGAGCAGCACGGGCCCCTCCGAAGTGTACACATGTGCTCGCATCACAGCAGTATATCATAACAACTGTAGCTCCCTAGACCATACCTCTCCGATGCCCGCAGCATGGATCTGAACCCCTGAAACCGCGCAGGACAATCACTGTGATGCCATCGCGGCTGCACCACAGGCTCGGTCGCAGTGAACTCCATCATCTCGGATCCTGTGATGTCAGACGTGCAGAGAAGCTCAGAGTCTGGGGTAGGGCGGGACGGCTCCTGATCCATCACTTCTTTGCCCTCTTGGGCGCTTTGTTGCCACCCTTCCCGGCACCTTTGCGCTTGGTCGGGGCAGGCGCCGGCGCCCCCTTGGGAGCAGCCTTCGGAGCAGCCTTCGGAGCGGCTCTCAGGAGTGTCCTGAGCAGCAACTGATAGTTTCGGGCTTTCGGGGCTTTGTGGTTTGAAGACTAGGGGCTTCTTCACCTTCACATCTTCC